AACTCACTCTTCTGTATTAGTATTATATTTATATTGTTATCTTGAGTGATGTCCCTTGTCATTGTACTTCCTTCCGTCCTCTCTCTTACCAACATGGCCGTCTGTACATAATAAAGACTGTTATATACAACCACAGGCTTCTGTCGTCAATCTATTATAACTGGCGACGAAGGATAAACATCTACTAGAAAGAGCACCTACTTACGCAAAAAAGAGGTTTGCTAGAGCTTATTAGCTAATTATTTCTAGAATTATGGCGCTGTATGGCCAAATAAAAGAATTTGATGCGAATGATGAAATCATTCAAGATTACCTAGAGAGGTTAAGCTTTTACCTAGAAGCTAACAACGTGACGATAGAAGCCAAAAAGAGAGCTGTTTTGTTAACAGTCATAGGGCCTCAACAATTTAGGCTACTAAAGGACTTATGCGCTCCAGCTAGTCTAAATACCAAGAGCTTTAACGAGCTGAGCAAATTGCTAACAGACCACCATGCGCCTGTACCATCAAAGTTTCTATGTCGAGCTAGATTTGACAGTAGGACTCGTCAACCAAACGAGTCAATATCAGAATATGTTGCTGCTTTACGTCATTTAAGTGAATTTTGTGAATTTGGAGAAACGCTGTCTGACAGATTATGTGAAAAGTTTGTGACAGGTGTAAACAGCCCTGATATTCAAAGAAAGTTGCTGCTCGAGTCAGATCTAAAATTGGAAAAAGCAATACAACTCGCAACTTCAATCCAGCAGTCATCAGATGCGGCGAGATCTTTAGCACCTTCAGAGATCCATGCAGTAAACAGCAGGTTAGTCAATAAACATCAACCCCATCAGAGCATTCCAACTTATGCTAAACAGCCTGCTCGTTCAAATCCTAGATCTAAATCTAGTAATAATTATCAAAAATGTCATCGATGCAAAGGTCCCCATGCATCTCATCGGTGCAAGTTCAAGTCTGCAACTTGTTATAAGTGCAGTGAGCAAGGTCACATTGCTAAGGCCTGCTTTGCAAAGTCTTCGTCTGTTGCTAAATCTAGCCAGTCAAGACAGTACCGCAGCCAAAAGCAGCACTATGTTAACTCTCACCAAGACTACCTAACCCAACCAATGAACCACTCTACCTGTGAAAATGCTCAAACTGATTCGCAGCCGGATTTCAACCTGTTCTCTGTGAAATCAATAAGTCATGCTCCCATCAATGTACCAGTTTATATCAACGGTAAGAGCATCAGCTTCCAACTGGACACTGGAGCATCTCTAACAGTCATAACAAAGAAAGATTTTGACGCTGTCATAGGAGGATCAGTGCCTCTACAGCCATGTCACAAGTGTCTAACAACATACACTGGTGACAATGTTCCGGTAATAGGAGAGTGTATGGTTCATGTAAGTTATAATGGTCAAAGTGTTAAACTTCCTCTTCTTGTGGTTGAAGGAAATGGTCCGCCATTATTAGGTAGGAACTGGTTAAGTGATCTTAAGTTAAATTGGGAGAGTATTTGTTCATTGAAGAATGTAAAAGAATCTAGTCTTACTTCACTAGATAGAGTTATATCTGAAAATAAAAGTGTTTTTAGTAATCCAGGATTACTAAATGATAGAACAGTGAAGTTAAGCATTAAAGACACAAATCCAAGATACTGCAAAGCTAGAGTTCCACCTTATGCAATGAGGAATAAAATTGAAAATGAGCTAAGTAGATTGGAATCTAATGGCATCATAAAGAAGGTAGACTATTCCGATTGGGCGACACCCATTGTGCCAGTGTTAAAGAAGGATGGTTCTATAAGAATTTGTGGAGATTATAAAACTACACTGAATAAGCAAATAGAGCTAAATAGGTACCCTATACCTAACATTGAGGAAATTTCTTTGAATTTGGCAGGAGGAGACAAATTCACTGAATTAGACTTTAGTCATGCTTACACTCAACTAGAACTGCATCCAGATTCAAAAGTCTATACGACAATAAACACACATAAAGGACTCTACCAATATGAAAGACTATGTTTTGGCATATCATCCAGCCCTGGAATTTTCCAAGCTGTCATGGACAGTATTTTTAAGGATATTCCAAATGTTTGTGTGTACTTTGACAATGTGTACATAACTGGTAAGAATGACACTGAACATCTTAAAACACTTGATAAAGTATTAAAAATTGTTGGTGAAAAAGGTTTAAAGATAAACAAAGATAAATGTCAATTCATGTTGACAGAAATTAGTTTTCTTGGTTATATATTAAGCAAGCAAGGTATCAGACCTCAACCTGAGAAAACAAAAGCCATTAAAGAAGCACCCAAAAAGCACTATCAGATTACCTGAGGAAATTGATCAATCAAAGAAATCTATGCCAGTTAAGGATCTGAATAATAGCATAATACTTTCAGATGCCAATTCAAAAAGTAAATCATGACAGAACACCCATTGAAAGAGAATTTGGTATTAATGAGAATGTGTATCTAAGAAACTATGGGAGAAAGGAAAAATGGATACCAGGTCAAATTGTTCAATGTAAAGGACCTGTGTCTTATAAAGTTAAAAATAACTTGTGCAGATAATAAGTGTGAATCTGCCAATCCCACCAAATCAAAAGCCACTGAGAAGGTCAAGCAGGACAATCAAAGTCCCAAATAAGTTAGACCTATGATTTTAAAGGTCAAAAGGACTTTGACATCATTGTTTTGTATCTTGATTATGTTGTGGCATATTGTGCATTGTTTGTAAGGATGTAATCTACCATAATGTTCATGTTACAATATAATTGGTGATTTTAGGATACCATCAATTGTTCTATTGAGAGATGTGTTGTTGTGTTCTAAGGGTAAAGGGATGTAATAAAGTGAGATAATTGTGAGGTCAGGGGAACTCACTCTTCTGTATTAGTATTATATTTATATTGTTATCTTGAGTGATGTCCCTTGTCATTGTACTTCCTTCCGTCCTCTCTCTTACCAACATGGCCGTCTGTACATAATAAAGACTGTTATATACAACCACAGGCTTCTGTCGTCAATCTATTATAGTTTACATTCAGCAACTGGCCCTTGATTCTTCCGCTGCTTGAATAGCCTGCCCCTTTGTTCTCTATTTATAACCATATCGTCTCGTTTGTCATCAGCAGATATCGAAAAACAGAAGCTTTTGTTGTAGCCGAAATCGAATACAGGAGAGTTGTATTTTGTTTACTGAGGGGGGCGAGTGTTTAAAATTTGTTTTTTGGGCTATCTCCACCGCACATGTCGGAACTCTGGCGATGAGCGCTCCCAGAGTTGAGATAATACATGAGATGTTTTTTGTTTTGTTTCGTAGAATTCCTGACCTGGCATTTGAGTCATGCTTTTTGATTCCGTATTTTTTTTTTTTTTTTGCTGTGTGTGCGTCATGGTGGAGGGCGAGAGATAACAAACTTTGTTTTATTTTGTCTGTGAGGCCATTGGGTCCACGCCCAGCAAGGCTGGTGGGTGGAATCTTCGTGTCATACGCAGGTTTGTGGAAAAAGGGATTGGAAGGGGTGCGTTAATACAGCATCATTAGAGTAAGTTGATGGATACAAGGGTATCGTCAGAATGGGTGGGTGGACACATGCTAAGTCGGTGTGGGCGGATATTCAATTACCATTGGTTTTTGTGGGGGAAGGCACGTTTTGTTAAAGGCCATATTACACGGCGCACCCATTGTTAATTCCGAGTTGAAAAAATTTATCAAATTCTTTTATGTAAAAATAGCCGAGATCTAGGTTGCTGATTTACAAAAGTAAGGCCTTACATGCTAGCAGTTACATTTTAAAATTCCCTCTAATAGCACCCCAATCACACCATTAAACCATCCATTTATATTCATGTAAGCATACCATATGTACATCTAATTAAACACTCATTACGTTTCTATGTACCCCTGATCATCCCTGATCAGTGGCGTAGGCAGGGGTGGGGGTTAGGGGGTTATAACCCCCCATAGATCCTGCAAATCGAAAGTTTGAGGGGGGGGGGTGCAAATCGAAAGTTTGTCCCCGGGTAAAAATTGGACCCCCCCCCCCCTTGAGATGATCCTGGCTACGCCACTGTCCCTGATGAACCCTAAGTATTCATCTAATATGAATCAGGAGTGGAGCCCTTTAGACTAAAAGACTGCAATTTCTGTTTTTATTTCAGAAATTTGTGCAACCGAAGTATCATCAGTTAGGACTATACCCTCAAAGGTTCACGATGCATGGGTAACCAATGATCTCTTTATCGGAATTCCTGGCACGATCTCCATAGCGGATTTCGCTGGAGTATAAATCGTGTCCGGATGCAACAGGATATATATATTCTTATGACATATGTATACAGTAAAGCTGATACAATCCTCACATACCCCTTATTTCATCCCGATCACTCCTTATACACACAGGAGCACTTTAATACAAAAGAAAGTCACTGGAGCTTCCTCAAATACAGCTCTCCAGTAACGGGGTGTACTCCAATAAAAACCCTATGCAACCGGTTGCATTTTAATGCAAACCAACAGCACCTTCAATGACCCCCCCCCCTCCAAGTTCTCCCTAACACCACTCCCCTTCAACTTCTCCCTAATACCACCCCCCCCCCCCCTCTTCAACTTCTCCATAATACCACTCCCTTTCAACTTCTCCCTAATACCATCCCCCCTTCAACTTCTCCCTAATACCACCCCCTCCAACTTCTCCCTAATACCACCCCCTCCAACTTCTCCCTAATACCACAACCTCCAACTTCTCCCTAATACCCCCCCCCCTCCAACTTCTCCCTAATACCCCCCTCCAACGTCTCCCTAATAAACCCCTCCTCCAACTTCTCCCTAATACCCCCCCCCCCTCCAACTTCTCCCTAATACACCCCCTCCAACTTCTCCCCAATACCACCCCCTCCAACGTTTCCCTAAAACCACCCCCCCCCCCCTCCAACTTCTCCCTAATACCCCCCTCCAACCTTTCCCTAACCCCCCCCCCAACTTAAATGACCACGACTAGAGTACTCACCAAACAGCTCATAATCCAAGTGACTCACTCCGACCTCCGGCACCAACAAGATGGCGGCGTCACGTCCACTACCACTTGACCGCTTGTCGTCCAGTGGTTCCAGAGCCTTGTGCTCACCCTGAACCCACGTGACCAACAAAGCCGCCAGCACCACTATCTGCCCACCACTCACACCCCGCCTCACCCTATTTGATGCTGCCATTATACCGTACACATTGGTCAGCTGCATCTCCTACAAATTGTCAACTTGATAAATGTTCTTTCAATTTTGATCTTAACTTTGCGGTATATGAACATGAATACGTAAGTCTAGATGTCTAGTTCACAAGATAATATTCCAATTCATGAAGTCGTAGCAAGCACCGATATGAATAAAAACGTGAACAGTCTAAACATGAAGCTGTTTCCCGTTCAATCTTGAAATAGCCAAGAGTGAAACGACTTGAATCCTTGCTGATGTTTGTACCATAGTTTCCTGGGTTGTAAACTTATGCTGCCTTGTCGAGTATTGTACCATTATTTTCTGGGCTATAACTAGAACCTAATGCTACCTAGCCGTGTATTGTACCATAATTTCCTGGGTTGTAACCTAATGCTGCCTAGCCGAGTATTGTACCATTATTTAATGTTACCTAATTGAAAGACGCTCTGTCATCTGAAACGAAAAATGTCAATATTTAAACAGAGACATGATAGACCAACGGTATCAAACTAGGCGGAATGTTATCTTAGGATACTTGAAGAACTGTTAGTTCAAGTATTCTTCAACACTAGTTTATGATCTATTAACGTGATTACTTTATATTCCCAAAGTCTACTTGAGCAGTAGGTTTATGATCTGGAAATTTTTTTTATCAATATTTTAAGACCTATTATAATGGCTACTTTATATTAAGACAGTCACATTGATTAATTTAATATTGTATCAGGTTTTCTAAAAAAAAAGATGATTTTAAAAATTTGCCTTTTTAAAATTAGCTGACATAATTTCTTTTGTTTTTTTATCTGTGTTCATAATTTTTTAGGGATTATTATTTATGAGCTCTAGGCCTACACCATATTTTTATGATCCTCAAAATTCTTATCTTGGAATATATTTTTATGACGTATTACAACACTATTATGTTAATAACAGCAGAGCTGTTTGAAAGTAAGGCGGAAAAAGTCTTGTTTAAAAATAGTATCAGTGTGTAATTTGCTAAGTCAGAGGGCCAAAACGTTTTTCGTTAAGTCGGTAGAGCAAAGAAAAATTTTGCTAAAGAAGAAAATGTTCGCAAAGTCAGTAGGCTTAAAGAAGAAAATGTTCGCAAAGTCAGTAGGGCAAAGAAATGTTGGCTAAGTCAGAGGGCAAGATATAACCCTATAGCCAGCTAATCATATTAGCCTATGAATACTAAAATCATTCATCCCAACACACTACTTTCAACTGAAAGATTAGAGCAAAATAAAACGTTCAGCAGATAAGACTACGGACAAACTACAGACAAACTGCAGACAAACTGCAGACAAACTGCAGACAAACGACCGACAAACACGACCAGATTCCAGCAATACAAACAGCTTTCAACCAATACATGAACAGATTAAGTGGGACAGTTTTAGATAAATGTGGGCAAACATCGCTTCATACGTAAAGTCAATTAAACATGACAAGACTAAACAATCTAAACCAATCCAGGATTTTTATAAACACTCACTAAGTTTAATTATTTAAAATTTTGAAACATAAAATGTGTTTTGAGTTGTCATTTTGGCTAATCAATACGGGGAATATCATGAATGGAAAGGGTTTCAGATACAAATATATCGAAGTTCAAAAGTGTTTTCTCTTTCAGAGAATGTAATTAATAGTAATAAGAGTAATTCTAATTAATTGAGCATGGGTCTCTGGGACCCATGACACAAGAACATAAATATACAACTTGAGATTTTACGAGAAAAACGAATATGTCCACAATTTGAAATTAAACATTTAACATTAAAGTAGAACCTTCACTTTAATGTAATTATGTGAATCTTGGAATAGTAAAGAGATACTAGGGAGACGAGGATACTTACACAATAAGACAATAGGATAGTAGAGAAACCATTGAGAGATACTAACGAGATCTTAGAGAGACTGGGATAATTATACAATATCTGTGACAATAGGATAGTAGAGAAACCATTGAGATACTAACGAGGTCTTAGAAAGACTGGGATAATTACATAATATCATAGACAATAGGATAGTTAGAAACCTTGAAAATATAGGAACAAGGCCTTGGGGAGGCTGGGATTGTAACTAGTCCTTAAAAACACTAATGTACTATCGACAAATTTCACACACATACTATATCACATACGGTTATGTTCAGCGATTAGAATAAATAAGTCCAAATATCCACACAATTACTCAAACAATGAACACGTCAATGATGAGTAGATCCAGAAATAAATAAATTGTGCAACGCGATTTCTTCCGTGCGTAAACTGTACCACACACCATAAAAAAACAATTCACCTTACTCAGGGGACAGCATTCAGTAGATCTCACTCAAGGGAGATAACTCAAGGCAAGCGAACGCAGGCGACAGGAAACAGCTGAGCCGATATAGGTCAACAGCGGTTTTAAATTATCATGTAATTAATAACATCCACAGTTGGCGTATCGAATTTGGAGCCTCGCACACGAAACCCGTCCGTTCTAAACACGTTCGGATACACGCAGACTATTTTAATTGAGGTATAAATACTGTGTTCCTTTTACTCTACTCCCACTCAATGCAAAAGTCAGAGCTACACATGATAAATATACAGCGTACGTAGCGTAGTATTTTATATTCAATACGTTTCTGCTCTCTATGAGTCTCAGTAGGGGGTGCCGGTAGCCGAGTATAAGCGGTGATCGCGTACCCTGGCGCACAGGTTGTGCGCAGCGCGGAGCCGCAGGTTGTGATTAAAAATAAACAAAGCGCGCTAGGTGGCGGATGTACTCAGTCCAGGGGAGGCGACTTTATCGTAAGGGGAGATGACTATCGCAGGTGTTGTACAAATCGTACTCAGATTTTTACAAATGTATAAATATAATTCTCTCTCTCTCTCTCTCGCTCTCTCTTCTTTCTCTCTCTCTCTCTCTATATATATATATATAGGCCTACATATAAATATATATATACATACATATATATATATAAATAAATAAATAAATATATATATATATAAATATATATATATATATATATATATATATATATATATATATATATATATATATATATATATATATATATATATATATATATACTAGTATATATAGCCTATATATAAGCATATATATAAATAAAGATATATATATATACATACATATTATACATGTATATTCTAGCATATATAGCCTATATATAAGCATATATAGCCTATATATAAGCATATATATATATATATATATATATATATGCAATGAGTGGAATATAGAGCATTTATATCGATTACTTAAAGAATGATTCAGTGTAGATGTCATTGAGTACATGTTATGTGTCACTTGAAAGTTCATTAGTGCACACACCTGTTGCTGTGTTGTGAGTAATGGTTGCAGCTCACACAGAAGAATGCACATCATTAGACTTGTAAGTTGTCATAGAGCTCGCCCAGGAATTAGTTTGTTTTGCAGTTTATGTCTGTCTGACATTTTTTTCACAGATATAAGACAATTGTTGGTGGGAGGGGTGTGTGAAAATCGTTTAAAATCATTAAAAGATTGTTGACGTTATTTGTGTGTGACACGAGATACTACGCTTACAATGAGAATGCATAAGTTATTTTAAATATCCACGTATAATGACACAAGTGTACCAATCATACAAGGATATTTGAAAGAATAACTGCATTCGCGTGATATTAGGTACAAGTTGTAATTAATTAGATAATTAAAGTTACTATCCAAGTATAAATTTTTGCTAACGACAACGTCATGGATCCTTAACCACCGTAGTAATTATTAATTAAAGCAACGTAGCTACTAATTAGCTGATATCCGGTTTAACGGGAAACTACAATTATAATGGACGGTTACGGTGATTTGAGATGCCTCACAGAAGCAGAGCTATAGCTCTGATAGCTGGCGAGTGACTAAAAACGTGTTTGCTCACCTCTGATGCACGGGCACAAGTCAACTCACACTTGATGAGAATTATGCTGCCCTCAACAGACGACACAGTAAAAGATATACAATCCTAGCCTTATCCTATATCAGATAAGACGGTCAAGAAAGACTTATCCTATTTTTATCCTATAATATAGCATTATTCAGTAAAGTCTTATCTTAGCATTATCTATATCACACGCGAGTGGACACCAACGAACTCTCATAGCCCTATTCCATACCACACAGAGATAATTAGTAATACATTATCACACAGAAATAATTAGTAATACATGACCACACAGAGAAAGTTAGTAATACATAACCATAAAGAGATAGCTAGTAATACATTACCACACAGACATAGTTAGTAATACATTACCACTCAGAGATAATTAGTAATACATTACCACTCAGAGATAGTAATACATTACCACACAGATATAGTAAGTAATACATTACCACACAGAGATAATATTAAATAATCCTTTCTCTTTCCTATATCAGAAAACACTGACTACGACCAGTTCAGTTAACCTCGTCTTATCTTTGATTATACATCCCTGGCTAGTGAGCAATGATGTGCATCGATGTATATCATAATACACTGCAATATTCAACAAGTTGGTGCAGCTTCAAATACACAACACAACACGTTATTTTTATTATTCTTAGAAAAAAACACATTACAATATTCCACTGTGTAACATTCAACACGTCTGTTTTGCTCCCTGCACGTTCATAACACCAACACACCTTTGGTACTAACACAACAACAACACACTCTGATTCTTAGAATCAACACACCGCAGTACGTCACCGTGTCATATTCAACACGACGGTGCTTCTACTAACACAATCACAACACCAACACTTTCTTAGAAGCAACACACCGCATTACGCCACCGTGTTGCATTCTACTAGTCGCGACTATCGGCCGTACACGGCATTTATCATATTAACCACCATGACGCCGCCGTATGTGACTCATGGTGCGACGGTTCTCACTGACGTCGCGTCAGCAATGCTAGTCTGGCACAATGATGTAGTCCCAGAACTGCGCTGCCCCTCTGCAGATATTTATTTATCGCAGGGAGTCTCAAATATTTACTTCTAAAGCACTGAACAAGTTTTAAGTATGAATTTACATCTCTCTCTCTCTCTCTCTCTCTCTCTCTCTCTCTCTCTCTCTCTCTCTATATATATATATATATATATATATATATATATATATATATACATATATATATATATATATATATATATATATATATAAGGAAATATGTGTCTCATTCAAACATATCTGGAGACATTGTTCTTTTTTTACCTTCAACCAATCATTTATCGACTAAGTAAAATGGCATCTAAGGTTAGTGTTCAGAAAGTTGTCGATGCTGTTTTTATATCCTGTTACGTGTATCCGGCTAACGGAAATGTACCGTGTGAGTACTCGC